AAAAGCTAAAATAGTGGCAGGGAAAACAGGTCCTTTGTAATCCCTCCATGGCAGACGCCAGTAGCGGTGACGTTCTGTGGTGCCTGCTCCTGGGTTGCTCCCTGTGGGTATGTGACCTGGTTTATTTTTAGATTTGAATTAGAATCAGTAAGTGGGAAATTTGGGGAATATGACCTAGAGTTTTGGCAAGCATGTTTTTCCAGCCCAAAAAATCCAGACTCACAATCCTCCTGAGAGTGTCTGTGCCACTTTCACGGCAGTCTGGGAAACAGAGCTGAACAGGAGCTTTCTGCCCTCGGGAGGCATTGGTGTGTCTCACATTGGGCAGCCTAGAGGACTGAGAGGATGGTCCTCAGCCTGCTGGTGGGAGGTCAGCCCTCTGACGCATCCATCCTGTTCTCCTTCCTCTTTGGTTCCCTGGCTCTCTGCTCCCAGACGTGGCGGCTCATGCAAATAGTCGTGGACAGGCAGTCATAGGAGGGGACTGTCACCACCTGTCATCACCACTAGTACTTCTGGTGGTGTATCAGTCAGGGCAAGAGAGCTGACAAAGAGCTCCCAAAACAATGCAGTGGGAAGAACAGAAGAGTATCTTTCTTGTGAAGTGATGGTTGGTGGGTATCCTGGAGGGCAAGGGGGAGGAGGGGGAGCTAATGTTGGTCTGCATGGCCCTTTGGTCTCATGCTCTGCATGCTTGAGACTGGGCTACTGGCACTCTAGATTCCCAGAGCCAGGATGGAGAAGGGCAAGGGAAAATGGCCACATGACCCCATCACCTGCAGGGAGGCCTGGAAGGCATCTCTGGCAGGGCCATCCCTGGCCCACCTCAAAGGAGGGGAAGACTTGACAACAGCCATCAGTTATCTCCCTTGCTTCTGTTTATTGGGTCTGGCTGCATGGACTTTTTATGTGCATTTCATTCTTAACGATCCTCTTGTTTGGGAGGGTCTCTGGTTACCCCAGGCTTATGGAAGAGGAAACTAGCTTGGGGAGGGGTGATCGATGGTTGGAGAGAAGTGGCAGAGCTGGGGTTTGAATGTTGCAGGGTGCTCATCCCAGGTGGAGAGGGAGGGCAGGGGACAGAACCCATGCCACCCAGCCCTGAGAGGAGAGTGAGCTCTCAAGTCCACTCCACGTTGACTGTAGCAGCTAGGCAGAAGGCACAGAGCTGCAGATGGCACTGCTGCTGACAGGGCGAGGGGCAGCTAAGTGGCCAAGTTTGGTGCACATGAATGTGGTAGTTTTTTATGACACCATTTAGTTTCCTGGGAGCTGAGTGAGGTGCCTCTGTCTTTAATGACCTAGGCTGTCCATCTCCCCTGGGGCAGATGCTAGGCCCCCATCCCCAAAGCATGGTGGTCTGAGCTCAAGACAGCTGTACTGCATTTGGAGAGAGGATGAACTTAGCCACAAACATGGGTAGTTGGTGTGCTTGGTGCTCATGGGTCTCTGGACTAACACTTGGACCATGCTCAGCCCCTCCCGTGGAGTGGGGCAGACACCATAGCAATGCCTGAGTACACAAATTCCAAAATGGAGATGGCTCCTTTGCAGAAGATTGTTACACATTTTATCCCCTCTTTGAAAACAGTATTTCAAAAGACTTGACTGCATCTCACATGTTCCTAAATGCTCTCCTGATTATATGATAGATGCCACTGGGAGGCTCCATTCATTTGAGGCCAATCACATTACAGCAAAGTGTTGGTGGAGCCATCAAGAGTGATTGGGGCTGGGGATGGTGTCGGCCATGGATGCAGCCCCCAGCACTCAGTCCCCAGAGATTTCCTCTGTGCCTTACACAGTGCCCGGCACACAGTGGGTATCAGTGGATGTTGATGAATAAACATGAGAGTGGTGTTCTCTCATGTTCAGGCTTGCTGGTGGTCTCGCAAAGGCTGTGGGATTACAGGTTGGGTGGGCGGATGGCACCTAGGTGTTCAGAATGGCAGAAACTGGGCATCCCTGCAGCAGATGCCATTATGGGGAGTCATGAGGGCCTGGAAATGGCTGTGCTTCCTCATAGCCTGAGCCAAGAGCAGGTGCTTTCGGAGAGGAGCCTCTGGGGGACTGGGAGTGAACACAGCTTGCACCTGGCCGCCAAGCAGCTTGAGAAGGAGGCACCAGGTATCCAAGGGCAGGGTCACCTTGCAGCAAGTTCACATGTCCTGGGCTCTATCCTCAGCCCCAGCACTGCCTCTGTGTGGCCTTGGCCAATTTGCATAACATCTCTGGGTTCTCACCTGTGAAGCAGACATGTACAGGTCAGGCGCAGCAGCTGCTGGACAGTGGTGAGGCAGACAGCAGAGGTAAAACTGAATCTGTGCAGAGTGTTAGCGAAGGGGTCTGGCCTGAAGATGCTCACACTTACAAAAATCCATCTAGGTAGAAGGTAACTTCATCTTGTCTAGCTGCCACCAATTGTGAGACTGCCCTGAGGAAGTGCTGTCAACTAGAGCCGTGAGGCTTCCTGGCTACGAGAGGCATCCTGAGGCCAGAGATGATCAAGGGTGGAAAACGTGACTTTGCCCAGGCACTGTGACAAATGACACATGGTGACGAGATGGTCAGCTGCACAGACCCCATGGCGGGTGGCCCACCCTGAGCTATGCCTGCCTCCTCTCTGCCCTCAGGATCCCATCGATCCTTTCCCCTATCCCAGCAATTGGTCAGGCCAATGAGGAGGGAGGGGAAGTTCACAGAAGCTTCTGGAAAAGTTTGCCATTGATGAAGAGAAACTTGCTAGAAGACGTGAGTTCTCTTTGCCTGCATATGGTGACTCCCTTAGCTGCGGCAGCCTCTGTGCCTCTGTGAGAGACGTGACAGGGGGTGGGGTACCTGGCTGGAGTCCCAGAGCAGGGACAAGAATAGGACTGGGCTCCCAACACATCCCTGAGCCTAACCTAACCCTGAGCCACTGAGCCAGCAGCCTTAAAGCCTGAGTTCCGTGAGTAGGTCATCTGTGTCAGACTCAAGGAAACTCATTTGGGTTTTTACTGTTTGGGGTTGACAGTGTCTGAATGTTGATCTAAGCCCAAGTTTCACTGGGGTCTTCTATAAACCAGAAGACTTAAGGTCCATCACTCAGATTCTAAAGGAGGACAATGGCCCCAATTATAAAACAGAAAGTTGCTAAAAATAAAACGAATACAATTTATATATGTAATACATAAAAGGTACTATGTGTGTTAAATGAGGTTAAGGCAACAGGCTGTCAAGACAAATAATGCCTCTCATGGCTGTTGTCATGTGTGCAGGGCCTGCCCGGCTCTAGACCCCTCTCCTCACTGCTCCGTGCCATTGCGTAGAATTCTTGGGACGGCAGAGACTTTAAAGACTGGGAAGCCAAGAGCTCTGGCCTTTGGGAAGAGCAGGCTGGAGGCTTCAACATGAAACTCAGAACTATGCCTAGGACACTAGGATGGCGGAGGACTGCTTCATCTGAGACCTCTGGTGTCTGCACCCATTCCTGGGGATTCTGGCTGGGACTGGGTTGTGGGTGCCACAAGGGCCCTCTCCTCGTCTCCCTCCCTGCCTGGTTGTGGTGCTCAGCAGAGCAATCTGTTTACATGTCGTGCTCCATCCATCAGCTGTAGTCATAAACACACCAGAGGCCCAGGAGCCAAGTGGCCCTGTGGCCAGACTGGAGGCCGGGGCCTCTGCGTGAGGGGAGCTGCCAGTTGGTTCCTGGAGATTCCAGGCATGACGGGCATGAGCCGGGCGTCCTGACCCACATCTCCCAGACTGTGGAGAGCTGGGGGTTGCTGATTAACCTGCACAGCCTGGCCAGCATTTTATGAGGTTGGGTCTGGGTGAGCCCAGGTGAGTGAGCCCACCTTGAAATGGTGTGCTCGTTCATGCCAAGCGGCTGCTCTGAGAGGGCACTGGGCTGCCAGGCTGCCCAGGCTACGGATAGTGGACCCTAGGTACCTGAACCACCCCAGGACCCCACAGGGCCAGGCTGCGAGTGCCTCAGCTTCCCAGATGCACCTCCTGTGTGTGCACTTCTGGGCTGGATGAAGGGGAGTTAGGAAGCTTTGAGGCCAGCTGTGCAAGTGGTGTTTACTAATGCCTGCTGGAGGTGTTCGTTGTTAAAAATGGACTGTTTGCCCTGGCAGACTTGCATTATAAACGTCTTTCCTTAAACTTCACGACAGCCTTGAGGAGTAGATGGGACAATGCTTAGGTTATAGGTGAGAAACAGTCTTAGGCAGGGAAAAGACCTTGCCCAAAGTCTCACAGCAGCCCAGACGTGGTCCGGGCTGGACTTACTGTGACACAGCCTGTGTCCTCTCCATGACTGGCTTTGGCTTCCAATACCTGGGCCCTGCTGGAGGCAGGTCAAGTCTAAGGAACATTTGCCACCCAGGCTGCCCCAACTTGGTCAGGCCATCTGAAGGCTGAATCTTTAATGTGTAATGCTTTCTGTGGCAGCAGGCCTGTGATATTCTGCCCACAGCCTTGGTGTTAATCATTGATCTGGGCAAATCTTCAGAACCTCCCACCTGCTCCCCTTTTGTGGGGGTCAGGAAGGTGCCTCATGAGTGTATGACACTGAGACAATGCTCCTCCCTGTCCCTGGGGAGCACCCGGTGTGCCTGGATGTGCTCCCAGTCCTTGAGAGTTAATCCAAGGTCAACTCAAAACCTAGCAGCCCTGTCACAAAGATCCTGACCCCTCAGGAATGTCCTCAGAGTTTTCCCTGCACCTGGGCAAATGTGCTGGGTGCTTGGTGGGTTTCCATTTCAGAGGAGCTGTCCGTGTATCTGAATGAAAACAAGGACTGGGCCTAACTGGATGTAGTCCCAGGAAGGTGCCTGTGATGCTCAGATCTGCTGCAGGTGCCCTCAAAGAGGAGAAAAGGTGGAAATGAGTTTAGAAACAGTGGCTGCATGTAAAGGAGCCAGGCAGGAGGTAGGAGTTGGGGCAGAGGACCCCCAGCTGGATGACCCCGCCCTGTGCCTGGCCAACCCTCACATGTCCCCAACTCAACTCCACAGGGTACCGCGTCCGTCCTGCAGCGCCGCTCCCCCACTGAGGAGTACGTGGAGGTGGGGCGTCTAGGGCCCTCCGACTACTTCGGTGAGTCAGGTGTTTCTCCTTGTGGCTGTGGCCATCTCACTGGGGTCCCAGGAAGGGCCCTGAGGTAGGGACATGTAAGGGCTTCCCCAGGGTTGGTGAGATGATCCCCATTGGTAGATAGGCCAACTCCAGTGTGGCTACAATAGAAGCCTCAGCTGTGTCCCCTCACAGGGAAGTCCTGGGCTTGCCTGGGTTCCCAAGAGTGACCCGCCTGCATGTGAACTTCTTCAGAGAGGGCATGACCTTCAGGAGGCACCTTCCCACTGTACAGGGCAGGTCCTGGGCAAAGGACACGGTGGAGCCATGAGCCCCAGAATTCCTGCAGTGGGGGTGGGGAGTCCTGAGGGAGGTCTGAACACACCCAAGCACACCTGGGCACACCTGGACATTCCCACAGCTGAATAAACTGGGCACTGAGGTGACCTGGGCACACCTGGGCATACCTAGGCATTCCCACAGCTGGGAGGACTGGGCCCTGAGGGAGACCTGGACATACCTGAGCACACCTGGGCATTCCTGCAGTGGGGGTATGTCCTGAGGGAGGCCTGAGCAGCACACCACAGTACCCACTATATAGGGCTGCCCAGCAACGAAATGGAGGAAGTGCCTAGAATTTGAAGTTCAAATAAACAATGAATAATTTGTTAGAATAAGTATATCCTGAATGTTTCATGGGCCACACTTACCCTAAAAAGGTTTTTGGGTATTTGAAATTCAGATTTTCCTGGTTTCCTAGTGTGGTGTTTTCTGCCCTTGAAGGAGAGCAGCTTCAGGAGTAGGGCCCTGCTGCGGCTTCGGGCCCCTGACTACTCTTTCTCCACTTTGCAGGGGAGATTGCGCTGCTACTGAACCGGCCGCGTGCAGCTACGGTGGTGGCCCGGGGACACCTCAAGTGTGTGAAGCTGGACCGGCCACGCTTCGAGCGTGTGCTGGGCCCCTGCTCCGAGATCCTGAAGAGGAACATCCAGCGCTACAACAGCTTCATCTCTCTCACCGTCTGAGCCGCTGCCTCCCTCATGTCCAAGCCGCCCACCCGAGTGGTGGCCACGTGTGGTGTCTGTGTCTGGAGGGCCGGGCGGGGCTCACTCCTGGCAGCGTGGGGGCTGCCCCTTCCTGGGACTCACTGTTTGGAATAAATAATCACCTTGTGCATTTCAAAAAACAAAGGGCAAGCGAACCAAATGCACCCAGGGCCAAGGAAGCAGCCTCCCCGCACGCCCCCTTGTCAGCCTCTGTGGGTGCGTCAAGGGGACCCCCCTCCCTCTGCAGGTCATCTGGGAGCCCGGTAGCACTCTTCTCTAGAACCTGGTCAGAACTTTGGCCCTCAGGCCCCCAGATCCTGCGATGTCCAAGGATGGGGCACAACGTGTCAAATGGGGTTATCCCCAGAGGGCCACAGGTTGAAGAAAGAGGGTTGTGCATTCTTCTCCCACCCATCACATATCCCCCTGCTGGGACCTGTGGAGGACACTGGGTGGAAAGAACCCCTGACTATTCATTTGTCTTGGCTCCAAGGCTGGGAGTGGCCAGAGTCCTGCCTTGGGGACCAGTGTCACTTGGCCAAGAGTGGCCCACCTAGGCCATGCTCTTGTGGGATGTTGGGAAGAGCTGGCATGATTTCAGCAAGTTGCCCTCACCTTTCTTTAAAAGTCCATCCCAATGGGTTGGGTATATTGGCCAGACACTTGGGGTCACTCGTGGTGCCCTCACTGGGCTAGATGCCCAGAATAGGAGAGAAACACAATTTGAGTTTGTGACTTTCCAAGACCCAGTGAGTGCTGTTCTGGCTCCCTGTTCTCTTGGAGCTGGGGGGAATCTCAAACAATGTCTGATTCCACTTCTTCCTGAAGCAGCTTCATGGAGACCTTGCCAGTGGGAGAGGAGGAATTTCTAATACGTATTCTGATAAAGTATTAGATATGGTCCCCTCTGAGTCGCTGTCCAACAGAAGTCCCAGCCTTCGAAAGGCACATGCAATTTATCATCCAAGCCTCTGTTCTCCTGACGTAAGGGAAAAAATATGTCAGACAAGCCTTGGGCCCCACACACCTAAATCATCAGTGACTGACGTGACCCTTAAATAGGTCTTCAATCCCACAGCAGTAACATGAGCTGGCCAGGGCTTTAAGCAAGAACAGAAAGCTTCACAGGAGCTTCTAGGTGCCCCAAAATAGGAGAGAAATAGTGCAGTTACCCCTATTTTGCTCCAGCTGTGCACATCCGGAGGAGGCTATCCATGGTCTGAGGTGACACAGTGCAGGCCCTGTCCAGCCCTGGTCACACCACCCAGCCCTGCCTTTGCCTGTGGGTGTCTCTGTGGACCTGTGAGCCCCGCCGCCCCCTCTGCCTGTGCTCTGAATGCTGCATGAACTATTAAATGTGCAATGAAATAAGTCTTCTGACTCCCAAGGTTTTGGTCTGAAACCTTTTGTAGACAAGGGCATTTTCTTTTTCTGGTAGTAAAACATACATAACACAAAATTTGCCATTTTAGCCATTTTAAGATGCACAGATCAGTGGCATCAAGCACATTCCTGTTGTGCAACCATCAGCACCATGCATCTCCAGAACTTTCCAACTTCCCAAACTGAAACCCACACCCATTAAACACTTCCCTGTGCTCCTTCCCCAGCCCTGACAACCACCCTTCTACCTTTGGTAAGCAACACATCCCAACCATTCTCATTTCCACATTATAGTGCAAATGTGGGTCCATGCTGGTGGGGTCCTGCCCATACAGATGTCCTGGGCATGGCAAAGGGACAGGGCCCCTTACCTCTGCTGCTTTCTTGGTGGCTGTGGTCCTTGTGGCTGATTTGTGGACCCTGCCATGAACACCCAGATCTGAGATTGCATCTGGGAGGGGTTGGAATATGTCTGGGGGACTTGTTGGGCCTCTGAACAAGGCAGCAAAGCTAAGGCTGGTGGGTAGCATGGCCCACTCCCCTGTGGGCCCTGAGGTCTCTTGCAGGCCTGAACACTGAGTAGGCCTGTAATAGTTGAGTAAATAACAAAGTGAATGAACGAAGAGTTGAAGGAGAGAAACTTAGGGAAATTCAGGTTCTGATAAATATTGGCAAAAAATAAATAAAACACAACAGTTTTGACCTAAATCTCACATCGATACAGAAATTAGCTCAAAATGGATCATACATTTAAATGAAAACATAAAACTAAAACTTTTAGGATAAAAAAGGACAAAATCTTTGGGATCTAGGGCTTGGCAAAATGGTCTTAGATTTGGTACCATAAGCACGATCCATAAAAGGGAAATTTGGTAAATTAGAATTCAATAACATTAAGAACTTTGCCCTTCCAAAGACCTCATGAAGAAGATGAAGACATACTGGGAGAAAATATTTTCAAAACATACATCCCACAAAGGACATGTATGTAAAATATACCAAAAACTTCTCAAAACTCACCAATAAAAATGCAAACAATCCAAATAGGAATGAAAGGCTCTTCACCCAAGCGCATGTACAGATGGCAAATGAACTCACAGAACGATATTCCAATCGTTAGCCACCAGGGAAATGCAAATTAAACCATGATAAGATTCGCATCTATCGGAATGGCTAAAATTAAAAATAGCAACACTCAATGTTGGCAAGGATGCAGAGAAATGGGATCACTTAAACATGGTTTGTGGGAATGTGAAATGGGGCAGCCACTCTGGAAAACAGTTAGTAGTTTCTTAAAAAAACAAAAAACTAAAACTAAGCATGTGATTACCATACAACACAGCAGTTGCATTCTTGGGCATTTATCCCAGAGCAGTGAAGACGTGCTCACACAAAGCCTGCACATGAACGTTTATAGCAGCTTTATCTATACAGCCCCAAACTGGAAACAAAACTGGTGTCCCTCAGTGGATGAAATAAATTGTGGTGTGTCTTTACCCCAGAATGCTGTACAGCACTGTAAAGGAGCACACCCTCCGTAATGCCCAGCAATCTGCACAGGATTGCCAGAGAATGATTTTGAGCAAAAGAAGCCAATCCCAAGTACTCTGCCTGAGTCTATTCACATGACATTCTTGAAATGCCAGCATTGTGGGAGTGAAGCCAGGGCTTGGGGCGGGGGTGTGGGTGTGGGGGTGGGTGGGAGTGTGTGACTTTTAAATGCAGTAACAGAGGTGTCCTTGTGGGGTGCGGCTGTTCTGCACCTTGCTGGCATCTATATCAAGTCTTACGAGGTTGCGCAGTAGTTCAGCATGAGGTTACCACTAAGGCAAACTGGGTAAAGGTTCTACTGATTGCTGTGTATTTTAATTAGATGGGGGGGGGAGAGAGATAGTGAATTTCGTGTGTTCTTCCATCCAATTCAATTCAATTTCATTGACATAAAGTTTACATAGATGCATCTGGGGGTTTTTTGTTTGTTTTTGTTGTTGTTGTTTGTTTGTATTTTTGCAGTTTTTGGCTGGGGCCGGGTTTGAACCCTCTACCTCCAGTATATAGGACCAGCGCCCTATTCCTTGAGCCATGGGCACCACCCTAGATGCACCTGTTTTAAGAGTGTTGCTTGTTTGGGTTTTTTTTTTTTTTGCAGTTTTTGGACAGGGCTGTGTTTGAACCCGCCGCCTCTGGCATATGGGGCTGGCGCCCTACTCCTTTGAGCCACAGGCACCACCCAAGTATGTTGGTTGTTGACTGCACAGGGATTACACGTATGTGACCACCATAGCCAAAGTGTGCATCAAGTGTGCATCACCTCCCAGAACATCCCCTGAGTCCCTCTACAGCAGCCACTGACACCACCAGTTTTGAATGTTCCAGAACATCATGTACAGGACATCTTCCCCGTATATTCTTTTTTTGGACCTAAGTTCTTTCATTCAGAGTAACATGGTTGATACTTGTCCACTTTGTTATTTTATGATGATGGCTATATTACAGTTTGTGCCGTGGTTTGTTTATCCATTGACCTGGTGGTGGATGTTTAGATTTTGAGCAGTTTTTAGTTATTACAGATAGTAGTTGCATGGAGATATGTTTTAATTTCTCTTGAGTAGATACCGAGGCCTGGAACATCTGGATCTCACATTAAGTGTATGTGTGGCCTTAGGAGAAATGGCCAAACCATTCCCACCATGGCTGCACCATCGTATGTTCCCACCGGTAGCATGGATGTTGCTGTTGCTTCGCATCCTCACTAGCACTTGGTATTGTCAGTCTTTCTACTTTTAGCTGTTCTAGTATGTGCATGGCACTATATCCTTGTGGTTTAACAGGCCTTCCTGATGGCTAATAATGCAGAATCTCTTCGTGTCTGCATTGACAGCAAATCTTCTGTGAATGCCTGCTTATAAAAATTGGGATGTCTTATTACATTATTGGGCTAAAAAAGGTCCTTATGTATTTGGATTCAGCTTCTTCATCTGATGCACATCTTGCAATTTTTTTCTCCCAGTCTCTGACTTGCCCTTTCATTTTCTTTAAATGGTACCTACTAAAGAGCAAACATTTAAATTTTTGTAGTTCAATTTATCCATCTTTTTCTTTATACTTTGTGGTTCAGTAGCCTATTTAAAAAAATCATTGCCTACTCCAAGGTGGCCCCTCAATGTTTGTGGAACTCCCTATAAGCATCTGCCACCACTTGGCCCTAGAACTGTCTTGAGGCTGTCATCCCATTGGGGGCAGTGCCCCTTCTCTGTCCTGAGGCCCTGGGAAGCCTAAGAATGCATACCCACCCCATCCCCCGCATATCTGGAAGAGACCAAAGTGGTTCCCTTACCTGGGAACCTTACCCTGGGAGCCTTATCTGGGGTGGACCCAGGTGGGGCCCAGGTGAGGTCTTGGTCCAGGGGCTGTGGTGTGGGGAAGACCCAAGGAGGCGGTCCAGGAGCCCTGGACACCATGCCTGCCCTGTGCACTCTGACCCCCCACTCACCTGCGGGTGAGGCATAAGGCTGTGTTGTTGCCTTGGAAGGAACAGATGAGGAAACCAAGGCTTCCAGCATGAAGAGCTTTGCCTAGTGCTCCTTAGAGGACAGGTGCAACTGGGAACCCTGACCATCAGCTGTCCTGGGCCCCACCTGCCGGGTGTTGCCAGTCAAATCTCTGACCAGCACAGCACACATTAGGCTCTGGGACAAGTCCAGTACTTGGCCTGGGGCCACTGAGAACATCTAGGGTGGAGAATCTGGACCTCAGTTTCAGTCTGGCCCTCTGCCCTTGCTGGCCATGGGGTCAA